TGCTTTTGTCGTGTTCTTATAATTATTATATTTATGGAGAAAGAAATTTAAAAAAAAAAAATTAATGTTACATATTTTTATAAGATTCCAAACTTTTAATTAAGAATTACTCGTAGGTGGAGAAGTCAACACTTCATTGATTCTTTTGGGCAGTGTCGTCGTGACAGGTGACCAATTGAGACATAATTAAATAAATATATATAACATTTATAAAATTATTGTATACATTTGTTTCAGGAAATTTATATGATATTACCCATTGTCATATAAAATATTTTACTCCCGACCAAACAAAATTTTATTGGAACCCATTGCGTTATGTGATTAAAAATACAATTATACAATTATATAAATTAATTATCTTTCATTGCTCTATGTGTATATATATATATATATGTCTTTTAATTTATGAAATTCATGAACTAATTACAAAATATAACTATATTTATAACAAAAATGCATAAAATAGAATTTTGAGTTGTTAATTATTTTATGAAAATTGTATTATTTAATAGTACCAAATCATATAAGATAATTTATATTATTGTAATTAAAAGGGTAGGTTGGTACGATCGTGTATATATATATATAATTGGCACTTATTAGGTCGTTGACCTCATGTATAGGGACCATAGAGAAGGTGTATATGGTTTTATACGACTATTGCCGGGAATATCCATTCACTTTGATGTTTTATGAAGCAAACTTTAAAGAATATATTATGCAATATTATAATATAACATTTAAAAACCAATAAGATTTAGTTTAGTGTTTTGAGATAATAATCTTTACATTTTAAATTAGACAACAAGTATATATTAATTATAATATAATCTTTTAATAAAAATACGTAAACGATAAAATATGACTCGAAGTATCTTATAAATAATTATTATATGTACCATCAAAATTACATATTTTTATATTTAAAAATTTATACAATGTACGTTTGTAATTAATAAAAAATTAAATGTATAGTAGATAACATATTTTTCCTTATTCTTCTCGTTTAGAAAAATATATATATATATATATTTTTTTTTGCAAAATTAAGAGATTAAGAAAGCAACAAATTCGTAATTTTCCAACTTAAATATTGAAAAATAGTAAGAAATGGGATTTCTATCTAAACATATATATACACACACACACACACACATAAACACACACGTATACCATATATTAGATTTGAGGCCTTCAATGGGCCTCCAATGATCCTTTAATGGGCCTCCAATGGGTATTTAATGGGCCTCTAATGTGCATGTAATGGGCCCGTAACGGCCTGTAATATGTCTTTAATTGGTTTATATAATGGCATTTAGTGGGCCTGTAATGGGCCTTCAGTGGGCCTGTAATGGGCCTTTAGTGGGCCTATAATGTGCATGTAATGGGCCTGTAATGTGTCTTTAATTGGTTTTTAATGGGTCTTTAATTGGCCTGTAATGGGTCTTTAATGGCATTTAGTGGGCCTGTAATGGGCCTTTAGTGGGCCTCTAATGGGTATCTAATGGGCCTCTAATGTGCATTAATGGGCCTGTAACGGCCTGTAATGCGTCTTTAATTGGTTTATAATGGGTCTTTAATTGGCCTCCCATGTGGCCTGTAATGTGTTTGTAATGGGCCTGTAATGGCATTTAGTGGGCCTGTCATGGGCCTTTAATGGGCCTCTAATGGGATTATAATGGACCTGAATTCGGCCTTTATTGGGCTTTCAGCAAAAAATTAAAATAATTTTAAAATATATTTCCTTATATTTTTCGAAGCAATAATATTGGTAATTCTTGTCACTGTAACTTATATATGTTTCATGCTGTTGGATTTTTCTAACTTATAAATATTCGAATATAATAAATAAAATACTAAAATCACATTTAACACGATATAAATTAAAATATTTGTTAATTAAAGATAAAGAATTGAATTCTATTACGTACGCGATTTTGAAAGAGGAATCAAATTTTGGTTCAAAGACACGTTTTTTTATTTTATTTTTAAATATTTAAATTAGTATTTATACTATTTTTATTTTTTAATTTTTTTTTTAAAAAAATATATGTTTATAATGAAATAATTTTTCACTTGTAGAGTTTAACATATAAAAATATTTTAGTTTTAATTATTTTTTATATAAAAAAGGTTAAAAAATTAAAATTAGAAACAAAATGAAAAATATTTGGTTTTTTTTTTTTAAATTTTAGTTGTTGAACTTTTTTTTTTTAATAATCTATATTAAAAAGTAAAAATTAAATTATGCGTAAAAATTTTATTCAATTAAAGAGAGTAATATGAGTGAAATTTAATGTACATATTACACACATTTTTTTGAAAATTGAGAGATTTAAAAATCAACAAATTCGTGATTTTCCAACTTATATATATATATATATATATATATATATATATATATATATAATAAGATACACATAAACACAAGGTAGTGTGTATGAGAAGGGTAAGAGAAAGTAAAGTTTTACTTGGGAGGGGAAGTGGTTACACACTCATATATTAGACTTGAGGTCTTTAATGGGCCTTAAATGGGTCTCTAATGGGCTTTACATCATATACATCCACCACTACATACATATATACATATATATATAGGAGACATGATTGATATAAACATAGCCACTAAGACATATACCTTTATCAGAATTCTTGAATTCCCATGTTATTCTCTCTCTCTCTCTCTCTCTCTATATATATATATATATACACAGACACGCACACGCTATACCACTATAATTATACTCTCCACCATCGTTAAATCATCTTAGTTGTAAATATACCAATGGAGAAGAACACTTTCCAATCGGAAGAGCTTCATGAACCCATCTTAACGAGTTGCAGGCAAGAATCGTCGGCGCATCATGGCCGTGAAGAAGACGATAATCATGAGCTTGAAAAAGTGCTATCCAACACTCAGCTAACATACTCAAACCGTCTCCTCTCGGCGTCGCGGATTGAGTTGAAGCTGCTTTTCAGGCTGGCGGCTCCCGCCGTGTTGGTTTACTTAATCAACAACGCCATGTCGCTTTCCACCCGTGTCTTCTGCGGCCACCTCGGCAACCTTCAGCTCGCCGCCGCCTCCCTCGGTAACAGCGGCATCCAGCTCCTCGCCTATGGCCTCATGGTATACACACACACATATACACACTCGTATACATATATTAAGTATATTTGCATGGCTAACATGTCATACTGTGAATTCAATACAGCTGGGGATGGGAAGTGCAGTGGAGACATTATGTGGTCAAGCGTACGGAGCCCAGAGATATGAAATGTTAGGGATTTACCTACAGAGATCAACGGTTGTGCTCACGTTGACTGGAATCCCGTTGACCGTAGTCTACATCCTATCAAAGCCAATCTTGATTTTTCTGGGAGAATCAACGGCTGTGGCTTCCGCGGCTGCATTGTTTGTGTACGGTCTAATCCCCCAGGTGTTTGCCTACGCCGTCAACTTCCCCATACAAAAATTTCTCCAAGCACAAAGTATCGTAACGCCGAGTGCATTGATTTCAGCAGCCACCCTGGGGTTACACCTTTTGCTAAGCTGGGTGGCGGTGTACGTGCTTAACATGGGAGTGATTGGAGCATCGTTGGTTTTGAGCTTGTCATGGTGGATCATAGTGGGGGCGCAGTTTGTTTACATATTGATGAGCGGTCGATGTGAGTACACGTGGATTGGGTTCAGCTATCAAGCGTTTTGGGGACTGTTTGACTTTTTCAAGTTGTCAGCTGCATCAGCGGTGATGCTGTGCTTGGAGACATGGTATTTTCAGGTACTGGTGTTGATTGCCGGGTTGCTTGAGAACCCTGAGCTTTCATTGGCCTCTCTTGCAGTTTGGTAAGCCAATTTTTTATTTTATTAGTTTTGTAGAGGTGATCGTTATAGTAATCTATATATATATATACATACATACATATATATATATATGTATATGTGTGTGTGTGTACACCATATAATATTTTAGGATACTTTTAATTTCTAAAAAGATGAAAATTAATTATAAAAAGTTGGGTAATTAGAAAGTTTTTAATCCACTAACTCAATATGAGTCCAAAATATCTTTTTCTTTTTCTTTGATGAGAACAACTTTAACACTTTATCTCCGAAAAAAGTTATGAGAGAGTGGAATCAGTAGTATCTTGATTCTTCATATATATATATATATATATATATGTCTGCCAATTCATCAAGGACAATGCTGTATGTGTGTATGTATGTATATGTCTATGTGTGTGTGTGGGAATATTTATTTAATTGTAAAAACTACTGTGTGCAGCATGGCAATAAGTGGATTGATGTTTATGGTATCTGTTGGATTCAATGCAGCTGCAAGGTTAGAATTATTTCTCAATCACCAGATATGAAATATTAGCCTCCTCTATTCTTTTGTATTTTTAGATGAGAAATCTTAAACATATATACAAAAAAAAGGTGTACAGATCAACGTACACATAGAAAGTATTAAGTGATTTATATGATGTGAACTATTCACTTATACTGCCACATATATATATATATATGTGTGTGTGTGTATACGTAGACACACACACACAAATTGATTTGCTAATGTGTGTGTGTGAATATAAAATTGTAACAGTGTGAGGATTAGCAATGAGCTGGGAGCTGGAAATCCCAAGTCTGCAGCATTTTCAGTGGTGATAGTAAATGTAGTTTCCTTCGTGATCGCTGTAGCAGAAGCCATTGTTATCCTTTCTCTACGTGATGTGATTAGTTATGCTTTCACTGAGGGCGAAGCAGTTGCCATGGCAGTATCAGAGCTGTGTCCTTATTTGGCTGTTACCCTCGTTCTTAATGGAATTCAGCCTGTTCTTTCTGGTAATTAAAAACTAAGTAATAATTTTAGATTAATTAATATGGATTTGATCTAAGCTTTGTTCTTTTTATACGTTTCAACAACACGAATTTCTCTTCTTAAATTTTTGGGCGAAGGGGTGGCTGTGGGATGTGGATGGCAAGCATTTGTGGCGTACGTGAATGTTGGATGTTATTATATGGTTGGCATTCCTCTTGGTTTTATTCTTGGGTTTAACTTCAACCTTGGTGTGAAGGTACTTAATTTTTCTTCTCTTTACATCGTCGCGTAATAAAAGATACGCAGTTTAAAACCCGAACTCGCGTATTGAAAATAAATAAATAAATAAAATAATGGATAATTTATTTACGATCTTATTGTTTTCACTGATCCAATCAACTGTGAAAAAACAAAGCAGGGAATTTGGTCTGGGATGATTGGAGGAACTGTGATTCAAACCCTGATTCTACTGTGGGTAACATTTCGGACTGACTGGAACAAAGAGGCAAGTAATTATTAAATGAACTTAAGCACCTGATTTGGTTAAATTCTCAAAGCAGGCACTGAGTTTTCTTAGCTTAGGAATTGAAAGAATACATCAATGAATCACAATGAAATTTCAGGTGGAGAAAGCAAGGAACCGTTTGGATCGATGGGGAAACCAGAAGGAAGCTGTCAATTGATCGACCAGAAAAATAATCCACATGTGAACATCACAATCACGGGCCAGGATTGCTCCAAAATTTGGTCCACTAGCTGTCAATGACACTACAGTGATAGAATAATAATGTACTCAAAATTCAGAAAATACTGAGAGTTACAATGTCAAGTAAGAACCAAAAAAAAGGGCTCTTTAGAGTACTTAAATGGCTTTTGATTTCAGTCTAGATGACTTCTGACTTGGATGTTTGATTCTTGATTGATAGGTTCACGCTTTCTTCCTGCTGTTTTTCTTCAGAATTTTGCCCAAGGCATGACAGACAAATACGGATGAAGCAAGCTACGACTTGGGTCTAGGCCGAAGGTAGAAATATAAATGTGTGTGAAGAAAGAACAAAACGAAGGATTTGGTAGACAACTTTTCATTTCCTCTATCGGACATCAAAATTCTGAGTACACATAAACATGTTTCTGTCCTTCCTGTCATCTTTTCTATTCCAAACAAGTTAAAACAAGTTCTCGGACTAAAGAACAAAAGTTGGTAAAAGACACAAAAAGGTTATCTATTTCCAGCAATATGCCAAAGCCATTGATCCAATTTGAGAAGAAGAAGAAGTCACTGTATAAAAGAATGACCTATATGATGGCATAATTTCGAACAAAAAGTAAACAAAAATAGGTGCTCACCATGCTCCATCTATGTTAGATATATAGTACTAGTTGACAAACAACACAACCTCTTGAGTTGGATAATGTACATCTATATCACTTGAACTGGCATGCTGTCTCATTATTGCTGTTTCCTGTGACATCACAAATCCATGTACGCCCGTGTCAATCCAACATGATATCATCTGATTTTTTTCTTTGATGCGACTGATTTACGTCAGCCGAAGTAGGGTGAGCAGTACGGGATCTCATTATATATTTGCATGTCCTGAAATGAAGATCAATAAAACTTATCAGACGAGGAGAAACAGGAGAAAAGAACAATACACACAAACAATTCACAATATCATTAATTTTGGAAGCATGAAGCAAAATCCTATGAATCTAATACCCATGACAGAGTTTATCAAATCTGTTTAAGAAGAGTAATCAATTGCATAGACATCTACCATAGTGATGAACGTAAACTCTAGGAAATTGCAAATCTCAAATCACAGCAATGATTGTTTGGTTTCACAAGACACACGGACTCAGGCTCAATTAGGGAACTTATTAAATAAAAGGAAATATTTGGAGGATAGAATCTCAAAATGAGTTGTGGAAAATCTTCTAACATGGCCTAATAAAATGAAGAAAAAGGCAAGGTCATCGAAGCTATCAAGTATTTGGTTTTCTCTCATTGTCACCTTCCTGATCATCAAGACATTGATTAGATGGCTATATTGCTTGAGAGATGGTATAAACAGAGGTATAATGTTTAAGTTATGTCAGAATTTTCAAATCCAAGTAAAGATTTGTGTATGAGATAGTTACGCATTAAGAGCCTCTGCTTTTCTCTTGATTTCACTAGCACGCAGTACTGGATCTGCATCTTTGGATAAAGCATCCTGCTGCCTGGTTTTCTCTTGCAGCCACCTCTCTGATTTATTGCATTCATCAATGACCTGCAAAGAGTAGAAATTAAAATAGTAGATGATTAGTAACATCAATTGTCTCCACAGCCACCTCCATCTAACTGCTGGTCAAGGATGAATCATCGTACCGCATCCTTTTTAACAGGTGGAAGTGATCCTGCGGCCATCCGGTAATCCACTATATGATTCAGCAGATCCCTAGTCGCTTGTGCTCGAGCCTCTCCCTCTTTATATCGAGTTTCAATTGGATCAACAAGCTAACAAAAATCTCAAATTTATTAGTTGCATTAATTAGCAGATTGATTCAGGTGAATCCTAAAAGATTAAAGATTTCAGTCACCTTTTGAAGATCCTTGAGCTTCTGAGAATAAACATGTTCAGATTCATCATCACCATCCTCATAAAGCCACTCTTCTGTCTGCTGAAGATTTCTAGTAATCCCTTCCCTCTCTGACTCAGTGGCAACGTTCAAGTACATATTTAGAATCTATCAGCATGAACGTGTTACTCTTAGTTGTGCCCAATTTAAAGCATGAAAAAACAATTAACAAAACATTTTGGGTGCATCATTTCTCAATCCATCATGAAAATATAAGCTGTATGCTCAGAACATAACCATATCTTAAATCCTGTTGCGGGCTAAGAATAAATGGTTTCCACAATTTTTAAGATGCTCCATGGGAAGTCTAAAGCCAGTTATTAGCTCCAGACAAATGTTATGTAATTGACTGGACACTAAATTCATGATGATTATAAAGTTATTGTATCAGACCTTTGAGTAATACCTTATCACGTATCTCATAAACGTAAGACTCCAGAGCATTTTTCTTATCTTTGGTTTGCTCCATCTTCAAGTCCTGTTGCACCAAAAAACTTTCTTTCTCTACAGCGTCTGCATACTCAGCCTTCGTCATTCCACCATAGACATTCTCACTAACTGGAATCTCCAGCCTTTTGGTGGCATTTCCCAATCTCACTTCATCAGCCTGCAGGAGGAAACAAATTAAATTTGATACTAAACAAATTCACATGCCTCAAATGTCCTCAGTAATTAATACAAGAGGGTATAAACAAGGACAAGGCTTCAATGAGAGCAACTGCCACCAATGAAGTCCAAGAGAGAATTACAGAACAAAATATTTTTTTGAATAGAGTTAAAGTACAAAATATGTCAACTAAAATATGGTTTTGCCCCCACTAAACTGTAAACAAAAAGTGAAATAGACATGGTCCTTTTATCATTTAAAATCTAATTATACAGCAAATTAAATTAGATGGACCAAACAAAACTAATCAAGGTAGAGATCACTAAAAAGTGGAAATGAATAGACATAATCATCCAGTTTGATCAAATTCTTTCTTTTTTCCATTAATACCTTTTCTTCTAGTCAAGCTTTTCTTCGACCAGAAAATTTTCCCTAATAAAATTTCATGCCATGATCTCACAAATTACTTTTTCCTTTTCTTATTCTCTATCATTTCTAATTTCTTATCCTGTTATGTGAGAATCTACAAAGAGCTTAAGACTTCAGTGCTGATTTAGAATTCAAATTAGCTAGGTTCTAGATCTTCATTTTGTCTTTTAGTATCACTTTGTCTTTATTTGTTTGTCTTTCTTTTTGCAATAGCTTGACCAGATCATGCATATTACAGAACATGTATTATTTATCAAAGTTTAATTAAATAATTAGCTGCCAAACTAACTAACTAAATTCAGATTGTGTTAATTATCAACACTTTAAAATAAGCAACAATTTTAGATTTGGATTAGCATTTGTGTAAGAAAAGAACACAGTAGAAACTCACATCACTAAAAATATATTTAAGTTTCTGACGCTTTTAAAATATGAAAACTAATGAAGAACAATAGTATACATTATACATTTTTCTGTTAATTTGTATTGGAAAAAGAATGTAGTGGTGATTTAGTTTAACTATATGTCATTTTTTGATGGTTATAATAAAAAGTCACCCCTCGAAAAAATAATCTGGGTCTGTCCCTAGATATAAAAAATAAACCACACCAAACAGCTTGTTAAAGAGCTTAAGTGATGCCAGTTGCCAATTATTAAGAAGTAACTCTTGATACATCAGTTTACAATGGAAAACCAGGTAACACAGGTGAACCACAAACTAAAAAAGAAAAAACAATTTTTGCCGGTCTTATCCTTTCTCATCATTTCTAACTCTCAGAGGGTACTACAACTAACTTACAGCAGTAATTGATGGATAGGAAAACAACTCCATTCTTTTGGGCCTTTGCAGACTACTTGTAGTTAACTTAGCTCAAATGAAGGGTACTACTTCTCTACCCTAACATTGAAAAAGTACCTTTTTAAGGTCTAAAATTCCAGCTATAACCCTGGACTTTCTCACATAAGGCTGCTACTTCTCTATCCTCACATCGAAAAGATACCTTTTTAAGGTCTCAATTCTAGCTATAACCCCAAACTTGTTCTAATGATTCCACCTCCTGCCTCCTTATGGGGAGTCACAGGGTTCAAGCAGCAGCCTGCAGGTTGTATACCTGCTTTACAAACGGCAAAAAGAAAAAGGTCTGAATTCCAAGTATCACACTGTCGATCACCACCAACACCAAAATTGGCCACTGGCCACTCGGAATCAACAATTCTGACTAGATCACCAAGCAAACATGACAGAACCAGACCCCACTAGAAACCAGCAAGCAAAAGTCATGCAACCAACTCTCTTTGCAAAGGGGAAAGCAAGTGGTGTGCATTCTAGGCACAGTCCGTCCTCTGTGATCAGCCACCAACTCCCTTCAACATTAAGCCATATTGCATTTTTATATTATTATATATTTTATCAACTTCCAATATAATATGATAATTATAAATTACTACGATCATATTAGATTATAACTTATTGTGACGCTACAATACAATACAGTACCTAAAGTAATAAATAGTAAAAAGTTGCATAAGCTCGTTCAAATAAGTAGTACCTGCGTAGGATTGCTAACTTCAGCATCATTCACTATGACAGATGGCATATGTTGAGAACTAACCTCCACCTCCTTTGAAGTCGAGTTATCCATGTGATCCTCAATTAACTAAAGTATTAGAAAGAATGAGAAATTAGCATAATTTCCATGAAAAAGGAAATTAAAGGCAAACATGTTTGCAGAATGACCAATCAGGTCATACTCACATAAGCTGCATCAATGGTAACAATCCCATGAATATTTAGCTGAACTCTGACCTTCACTCTTGCTGTTTCTCTATGGGAAGTTTGGAAAGGCCCAATCTACAAAAATGTTAAACAATAAATTGCATTCTTTCAACATAGAAGTAATAATAATAGTAAATGTTCAATAAAATGATGGTGTGAGAAGGCAAATTCCGTGGCTTATAAGAAATAAGGCACAAATACCTGTTCCAATTCAGGAAATGAACACAGATGTTAACACAAAACAATAAAGAAATTTTAACTCATGGCATTCAGTATCATCATTTCTCAGCTATATGAAATAATACATGCAACATTTGGATAAAGGAGAAAGAGCTGATGCTTCTTCCCTTCATATTACCAGAAAGTTCATGTATGAAGTATTCTCATCATAGAATGTTTTGTAGCTATATTACAAAGACTAGAAGTACAACCTGAACAAATCCTATGCCAAATAGTAGTGGGACTAGATTTAGATTTGGATCTCACCATGTCATTAACAGTCTACAATCCAAAATAATTATGATAAACATAATCTTCTTTTTCTTTTCATTACATAAAATCTGTTAGATTGGATCACATTCACTTTCAGAGAATTTGTTGGAGAATTGGAAGTATAAAGTAATAACTTCCAGGATTTACATTCATCAT